ATAGATTCTTTATAGATTCTTTATAGATTCTTTATAGATTCTTTATAGATTCTTTATAGATTCTTTATTGATTCTTTATTGATTCTTTATTGATTCTTTATAGATTCTTTATAGATTCTTTATAGATTCTTTATAGATTCTTTAAAGATTCTTTATAGATTCTTTATAGTTTCTTTATAGATTCTTTATAGATAGATTCTTCCTAGATTCTTTACAGATTCTTCCTAGGTTCTTCCTAGATTCTTCCTAGATTCTTTATAGATTTTTTATAGATTTTTTTTATTACTTACGTGAATATTTTGCTAAAAAAACTGTATACTTACTCCTTCAATGACTGAAATCTCACTACCAGTATCACTACTGAATGGCGGTGGTAAACAATCTGCATCAGTAACAGCGCTGACTTGGTAACTGATGAAATAGGCAAGAGCGAAAAAGTCGTGGGTACCTTTGATCCATTCGATTTCTTTTCTTGTAAACACAGGTAATCTAGATTGACAATCGCCTTGTAATTCAGACAATTGGCCGAGTCTGTTAATCATGAGTTGAGGATAGTCGCCATTGTAGATGGGATGAGCGAACCAACCAATCTAAAATTATAAACATATCTACACTTCATTTATTGGCGTTAAGTAAAAACATACGTGAAACTGTAGTCTTCTCTCTGCAGCGTCGATATCAGCTTGGCATTCTGTAGCAGGTTCAAACCAAGGTGCATAAATGGCTATTGATATTTTACCTAAAATATTGAACGATCAATTAGATTTCCAACAAAATTTTTAAACAGTTCTCACCTTTCTGGATCTGTCTATATATGTCATCGTACATGTGGTAGACACCAGCGTGAGCTTTAAGAAGATTATGTCCGCAAATGTACTCGTTAACTCCAGGATTATCATTCACTCCAGGAGGAAAAGTACCGTCTCCATATCCATCATAACATTGAGTCACTGGATCACTAAATGTTATCCAATAACTTACGCTATCTCCAAAACATTCGAAAGCAACGTTAGCATACTCGGTGAACCACTTTGGAAATTGATCGCTGAGAAAACCTCCTTGATCTTCAAGAGCTTGAGGAAGGTCTCTGTCGTAAAGGACGGCAATTGGTTCGATATAGTTCTCTTTAAGGAGTTGAATGAGTCTTTTGTAATGATTTATTGCCGCTTTATTGACTTCTCCACAGCCTGAAATTACGAAATAATTCAAAATATTTTACCAAGAAGGTCTGTAGATTAACACATTGTACAACAAGAGTTTTTGAATATTTATATTAATAATAACATAAATTTATTTTCCGAAGATATACATGTACATATAGAAATAGTCACATACAGAAACAGTAACATATACCTATAGGAATAGTCAGATACGTACAAACTAAAGAATATTCAGAATGTTCATGTAAGCACAGTAAAAGAAAGGAATTAATGTTTAATTTTTTACGAAAGACCTAGATGTTCTAATATTACACTTTTTAATGAGGAAGATAGATTAAAAGTTAGACTTACATACCGTTTGGAATTATCCTAGACCAAGACAAAGAAAAAACGTAATGCCTAACAGTTAAGTTGTTCAAAATTTCAACATCTTCTTCAAGATGATTATAAGCATCAGCTGTTTCATCGCCGTTGGTTCCATCGATTATAACGCATGGATTTTGGTGTACCCATCGGTCCCAAATGTTCTCGCCCTTACCGTCTATATCCCAAGCACCTACAAACATGAATTAAATAGAATAGGATATGTTAGAAGCTAATCATCTTTAAACTAGTATATTAATTAAAAATAAAGAGAAAGAGGAGTAAAAATTAGAGAGAAAAAGTAAATATTTTGATTACCTTCATGTTCATAAGCTTCAGATACTACTCCGAAAGAAAAAGATGATGGAAAGACACCATTGTATATTGGTAGCAAAGGCAGTAGTTCAGGTGGATGAGGTGGATCTGGATGGGGATTGGGATAATGATGTTGAGGAAGACCACAACTAAAAACATATTAATAGTAATTAAATATGAGCTTAAGGGCAGCAACTTACTATCTCATCATATCTAAATCATGATTATAAGTAATATGTGATACTTTAGTGCCATTTTATTATCTGACTTATAAATCTTTTCGTGAAATAGGAAATAAAAGTTCAGTACCATCCGAAAACATCAAGAATTCAAAAACAAATTGATATAGCCTATGAGCTTTGTCAAGTAGAATAATGTGCTTTTAGTGGTTATAAAAATAAACTCATATTTACCGACCATGTCAAAATTGGCTAGGCTAGATTTTGTATTGTAAAAATTATAATTTTCTTCACTTGTCGTACACAATATAATATTACCTTGCCTCAATGAAAACTACTAGTACGAAAACGTTTAAGAGAAACATTATAGATGAATTTAACAAATTTAATATATTTTTAAATATATATTATAACCATTTAAACATTTTTTTAAATGATATATGAAACGATCATTTGGCACGAACTGCTTATTAATATAAGTACTCTAATATTATTAATTGATAGTACAAAATATAAAGCCAATATTCGTGAAATTTTAGAAAGTACATTGTCATATAGATGATGAATAAAAAGTATCATTAACTTAAATAAGGTTATTATTATTTTTACAAAATACAACTAAAAATGTTTTTTAATAATAATAATAATATAAAATTATTAATCAAGTGTTAGTAAAGGAAAAATCTAATTTGAAAGTACAAAATAGCACGCAAGTATTTATTAGAAATTAAAAAGGGTTGATAATATTAAAAGTAGAATAGAAAAATTAACTAAATATTGAACACTAACAATAGGCCTATTAATATATTGTGCAATATACTTATATAACTAAAAAATTAAATTTGTGTTATTGGACAGACGTATTTTTATCTAAAAATAGGTTATAGAATGTGAGTCTCTATAAAGATAATTCACAAAAAGATGGGACTAAATACACATAAGTGAAAAATCATGGGTTCTAAAAGTACTCGTATGACCTCCACTGCATCAAAATTCCTTCTATAAAATTAGTTCCAAAAGTAGGAGGTGAACAAAATCTGAATAAGTTAAAGAAGTCGAATGAGCTGACCGATAGAGACATTAAAGTATCAATGATGGTGGGTGGGGTTTTCCGGGTTTTCCTCACCTGTAAGTAAAATGGCACCATCAATCATCTTTAAGTCGCCCCGGAGCGTTACGGCAAATAATAATAATAACTGTCCCTTTCCCCGGAAAAGCTCAGCTTTTGGGGTTAAAATTCACTCGTAAGGAGATGAATTAGGGAGAGCATTATTATTATTATTATTATTATTAGATAAAGCAGATTCGATCCTAGTGCTTGACACTTTTTCTTTTTCGTTTGGGAATTTAGAAATGTATAACTGAATTTTTAAAAATTCAAACAATAAACAGTCATACTCGCCTAATGGTTCATGTCACAAATTCTCATAGATATATAACCAAGACAGATAGAATTATTTACAAAAATTTTGAAGAATGAACGGTGGTATCCGCGGTAGAAAACCAATAATCGGATTGAACATTGATGCCAAGTTTACGTGCTTTTAACTATAGATATATATAACCAAGACAGATTACACAATTTCTGAAGTCAACGCGGATGATCCTCGACAGAAATGCAATATTTGGATAAAATTAAAATATTGATGCCAAGTTTGCGATGTTTTTAACTGTAGTAATGTTATTGCGTTTGCTTGAAATACTGTTAGGTCTTTAAATTGTCCAAAAAAAAAATAATAACATCTGACAACAGCGGAACTAGAGTAGACCGCAATTGTGGAGGGTCGTATATTGTTTCATTCATAAAATTCCTTCGATACAGTACTAGTCCAGGAGCCAGTGAATTTTTTTCGTACTTGTTTTCCCGGTCCGTGTATATTTAAATAATATATTCCCGGTGAACTGTATATTTAAAATGGAACGCCAATCTATTAACAAAAGTAAGCCAGATTGAATTCGCGCATTACATCACATCAATACAAGTGAGATTGTTTACAAAGTGCCTTTGCAGGCCTATTTTGCCCATTTCATGTATTTGTTTTTAAATCATGTTAAATTACTATTTTTGAAACTCAACAAGGAGAAAATCCAATTAACTCTTCCGTTGTGTATATATATATATAAGATAAATTAACTGAAGTTTTATTAGTAAAGTATTAACACTAAAATTTTCCATAAAAACGACCCCATCTCAAGCAACTTATTTTCACTGATTTAAATTATCGAGTCAGGTTTTATTTTTGTTTTAATAAATTAAAAGTATTCTTTAGAAGATCTGATATATTAATCACAATTTGTGTGCCACAGAAACCTATTTTTGACCCATTTCTATTCTGTGCCTAAACGAGTAACTAATGTTGTAACGTCAAGTTCCACAATGTGATTTAAGCTGACGATGATCACACATTATACAAGGTATCGTTAATGTTGGAGAAGCTTTAAATATGAAATTTAGTCATTGTCATTATTATTTTTTAGTAGTTTACATCACACACTGGAAAAAAGGAACACTTTGGTATCTGTTCGTTTGTCACAAGCATTTTACATACAGAATTGAAATTTGAGAGAGTTATAGTAAATAGCAGCAGATATTTTATGATTACGATTTTTGGGGGTGTTAAATTGAAAATTATACAAACAAATTTATCTAACGTGGCGTTAATTTTTTTTAACTATTTTCTCGTACCCCCACTTCCTGGCAAATGCTTTGCTCTCGAACGTTGAAAATGTAGATTGAACGAACCTTATTAAGTTTTTTTTTTTTTTTAATACAGTATAGAAAAGAATCAGTATTGCGACTCAAATTTTTCCCGCAAGATCTGCCAATTGGGAGTGTTTCTATATTTTATCTTACCCATAACTATTTAACTAAATAGTTTTAAGACTTTTAATTATTAATATTATATTATTTCTTAGTTATTATTAATAAAGTTAAAAAAGTATGCAAGTTTTTAAAAATTTATTTACATAAATCACAATTTAATCAGTATACAACATGTTCCCCAAAATATTCGTGATGATGTCGAGGAGGACATGGGTCATCTATGCAACCATATTTGCAGACGTGTCGGTAGTAATCAGCTGAAATTCTGGCAGTTCTGGTTTTCGCGGGACAGTCGAATTCTACGTCGTAAAAACCAAACTTAATTCTGGAACAAAAATAATGTTTTTAAACATTTGCTGCATGGTACCTACCTATTGATAAGAAATTGCTGTTAGAGTGCCTGCCTTTAGGAACAATCTTAGCATTACTTACGTGTATCCAAAAGTTCGTACGAATCCATCAATATATGAATAGTAAGTGTAAGCATAAATACGAACATCATCCTTTGTCATAGCATCGTAAATGTGTATTAAGATTTTCTAAAAAAATAAATTATTTAGTTGTTTTCCAAAGGACACAATATTAGTATAAATAGAATATGAAAAGGGTCTATGGCAGTTTCTTGTTGTACTTCATGTAACTAAGTCTAAATTAAAATAAAACTTACTTTGATGTAATCAATACGGCTATAATCCTCTAATGAACGATCGGCTAAAACAAATCCATTGTTCAAAATGAATATTGATGGGTTTAGATATTGTTGCTTCACCCATACTACTACCTTTCTTATTCCCCAAGTGTCATCCTAAAAATGATGTAATTACTTATATTAAATTGTTGCTTTTGAAATTGGTCAAGAAATATAAATTGAACAGAAAGAAATCATAGAAGAATATAATAAATATATTAAAAAAAACAAAAATCGTTTTGAATTATTACAGATTATGTCATTCAAAATAATGTTTTTCTACACCCGTATTATAATAATGCACTTATATGCCCATAATCCGTTTCATAATGATACCCATTATGATACAGATTTTTCATTACGATACAGATTTTTAATCAATAGAAACCTACTATTTTTCAATCAAGCATGCTGTTTGACGTTTGTCCTAGGTTTCTATGTAATTGTTTTAGTTGTCAAAACGTATTAAATTTTCGTAGATAGCTAAACTTCGATAATTATAATATTAAAATGTCTCATATCAGCGATATAGAAGACTCTTCCACACATATTGGAGAAAGCAGAAAATACAGTACAAAATATTTTGCAGCAAAAATCTAGGGAAATACCAATACCCGAAGTAATACCATTAATTACAATTTTGTAGAATTTTTTATAGAAATACGAGTAATTACTGTTATTGTGTTCAATACCAATATAAATATAATATTTATAGGTCTTGATTATTTATCGGGTGTAGAAAAAATAGCGTATGCAACTCTCATGTAATGGTTATTAAAACACTCGCATAGACCATACGAAACTCGCCTTTGGCTCGTTTCGTATCCCGGTTAATGCTCGTGTATTAATAACCATCATTACATGATCGTTGCATAATATACTATTTTTTGTTTGTTTTCAGGTAAGTACCTACTATACAAGACATATCAGAATAAGTAAATTATTTTATATATTTTATTTTGATTGTAACATAAACATAAATATATCAAAAACGACAATAAATTAAACTCAAATGTGATCAAGACGTAGAATAAAATAAATAAAAGCCAATATCACATAATTACGAGCGACCGTTTCCCTTTAGAAAACAACTACTCCTTTGGCTAATACCGCAACAGGTATTGAATTATATCCGAAGGAAAGACAGCAGAGATATAAATTAAATTTTACCACTCTACCTTTGATTTTGCTAATTAAGGAGAACATCATTCTTGAACAGGTTTCGTCCTTATTAGGACTCTTCAGCAAGAAATAGATAGGTTCTCAATTCCAATATCTAATGGAATTAACAAATGCTACACATTTCATTAGAAGGGAATAAGAATTTAAGTAGTGAAATGGTGTTGCCATCTGTTCCTAGTAAACAAAATCAAAGGGCGCTGTAGTACCCAGTTGGAAAACTAGGTGGAACCAAAAAACTAGGCTGGCAATTTGTAAAAACCAAAATAAATCAAACTCAAATGTGATCAAGACGTAAAATAAAATAACACTAAATGCCAATATCACTACCTACTTGAATTCTTTTGGGTTGACTTTTGTAATTTTTTTAACCTTATTTTTTGTATTTTTTGACTTTTTGCATTTTTTACTTTTTTTGATTTCCTATTTTTTTATTTGTGTTTGTTTTGTGACTTTATTTTTTTGGCTTTCCCAATTTTTATACCTTAATTTTTTTTACTTTTATTTTTTTTATTTTTTTACTTTCTTTTTTGAAAATTTGACTGTTCTTTAACATTTTTAAATATTTAAATTGTTTCATCGTTATTCTTACTTTATTCATTAAAATTTGTTTTATTTAGTTTTTATTTATTTCACTTTTTGGGTTGACTTTTTTAATTTTTTTTGTACTTTTTTGACTTTTTGCCATTTTTTTGACTTTCCTAATTGTTTTGTCTTTCTTAATTTTTTTTTGACATTTTTTTCTGACATTCCTTTTTGACATATTCTTTTTTGACATTCTTTTCTATGTACTAACTCTTCTACTTTTTTCGTATGCTTTGCATATTTCGACCTTTTTTTAGTCTTTAAAACTTGAATTTTACTAATATTTTATTTAATTACCGTTTTTAGCTTATCTCTAATGCACCAAGACTCTTTATTGCATTATAACTTCTCATTTTATTTCTTTTTATTTTCTTATATATTATTTATTTTTTAATTGTTTACTATTTTACTTTATTCCCTTTTTACTTTTCTTTTTTTACTTTTATGTATATCTATCTCTACTTTTCTTTTTATTTATTTTTTTGTTTGTAGTTTTATTCTTTTATATTGTTTAATTTTTGGATTCTTCCTATCCATTTTTTTTGTTGATTTTTTAAATAAGTCAGTTGGTAATCATCTTTAATTGTTTTTTTTTTTGATTCTGTGTAAATTTTCTATATTTTCTTTAATTTTCTCTTAAACGAAAAACTTTGAATACTTACTCCTTTGATTGTAACAATCTCGCTACCAGCATCACCATTAAGCGACGGTGACAAACAACTTTCATCACTAACAGCGCTGACATGGTAACCGATGAAATAGGTAAGAGCGAAAAAGTCGTGGGTGTCTTTGATCCATTCGATTTCTTTCCTGGTAAATACGGGTAGTCTAGATTCGCATAGGCCTTGTAATTCTGACAGTTGACTGATTCTTTGGATCATGACTTTAGGATAGTCACCGACGTAGATGGGATGGGCGAACCAACCAATCTAAAATTATAAACATAAGTAAAATGTATTCACTTTTCATTGACAGTAAGTAAAAACATACGTGGAACTGTAGTCTTGTTTCTGCTGCTTCGATATCAGTTTGGCAGTCTGTAGCAGGTTCAAACCAAGGTGAATAAATGGCCATAGATACTTTACCTAAAATGTTTAACAATAAATTAACACCTAATATAAAAAAGATTAGTAGAATAAAAGATCGATAGAATATCTACTATCGGTATTGAACAATGCTAGAATAACATATTTCGGCAAAATACGTAGGCGTGAACCTAGATTTAAAATTCAAATAAAAGAAACACATAAAGAAAAAACGGGAAGAGTTGAGTATTAAAAAATATAGTAAACTTCTATTATAAAAGCAAGCACTGAAGGACTTATACAGCTCTAGGGCTACGTTAGTAAAAGTGGGATATATTTATAAATAGGTTTCTACAAAAAAATATTAAGGGTAATAGCAAACATACGCTGGAATGTAAGGAACAATAGACTTTCACAAATATCTGAGAATACCAACAGTCAAAAAAGAGAGGAAAAACGTCCCAAAAACACACAAAAAGCTGCATGAAGATGTGAATGTAGAAATTTTATAACTACCAAACTAGGAGACTCAAAAGAAACAAACTATTTAGTTTAGTGATTAAATAGTGATAAAATTGTGTAAAAGCAAATCAAAACACAGTACATTTGTGCAGTACATAGGCTTGAAGTTGAAACATCAGAACAGAATAGAAAAGATGTCATTGAATGAACTGTTTTATGTTTCCTAAATTTACTCAAATCGATCATGAAGATAATTTCTGATTGGCTAAAATATATGTAGATGTAACAAACACAAAAATAGTTCTTACCTTTCTGGATATATCTATAGGAGTCATCGTACAAATGGTAAACATCAGCGTGAGCTTTGAGAAGATGATGTCCGCAGATGTACTCGTTAACTCCAGGGTTATCGCCAACACCAGGTGGCAAAGTACCTTCTCCATACCCTTCATGACAATGACCAAACGGATCGTCAAAAGTGATCCAATATTGTACGCTACCCCCAAAACATTCGAAAGCAACATTAGCGTATTCGGTGAACCACCTTGGGAATTGGTCGCTAAGGAAACCTCCTTGGTCTTGGAGAGCTTGAGGAAGATCTCCGTTGTAAAGGACGACGATTGGTTCGATTTGGTTTTCTCTGAGGAGTTCAATTTGTCTTTGGTAATGTTTGATGGCAGCTTTGTTGACGTCTCCACAGCCTTAAATTACGAAATAATTTTAATAGAACAACCAAAAAAAAAGTAGGTGGTACAATAGATTTCTTATTATATAGATTTAAGGTTGAAACAACTTACCGGTGGGTATTATTCTAGCCCAAGATAGAGAAAATACGTAATGCCTTACTGTCAAATTATTGAGAATTTCGACATCTTCTTCAAGATGGTTGTAACCATCAGCAGATACATCGCCATTGCTTCCATCAAGTATAAGATGAGGATTGTTGTGTATCCAACGATCGTAAATACTCTCGCCAGCACCATCTTGTAGATAACCACCTGAAAATTTTTACAGAACGTGTCAAAATACTTTGTTGTGAATTAAGCAAAGAGGATAAATCGAATGGCTAAGTTGCCAGATTTAATTCTTCTTGATTTATTTTTTTTAGATATATTTAAAAGTGTTAAATACGCTACAAAATATATTAATTTTATGCTAATAATAAGAAGTAATCTACAAAAAATGTAAAGAGTACTTTAAAAAAATTCAGGCATATCGTTGCTTACAATTTTTCTTCTTTTTTAAATATCAGTTTAGATTTAGAACCGTAACTAGTTATCACGACGTATTTTTGTCTTTATCGGTTATTGCTAATTTTATAAAAACATTTTGGTTAATCACTCCTTGTAATTAAAATGTTTACGATTTTTTTTAATTAATACAAATAAACTGATATTAATAATAACAAAAATACATTGGATATATTACCTTCATGATCGTACGCTCCATTTGAAACTCCGAAAGAGAAGTGCTGAGGGAATATTCCATGATATACTGGTGGTGGAGGTGGTGGAGGTATTGGATGAGGATGCTGTGGTACATATGGTGGTGGATGTATTGGTGGATGTGGTGGTGGATGAGGGTGTGGATACGGTGGTGGGTGAGATGGTGGATGAGGTGGTGGGCATGGTTGTGGATATGGTTCTGGATGAGGTAATGGATGAGGATGAGGTTCTACATGAGGTTCTGGATGTGGTGGTGCAGGACAGTGTTGTGGATATGGTTCTGGATGAGGTGGATATGGATGTGGATGAGGTTCTACATGAGGCACTGGATGTGGATGCGGGTATGGATGGGGATGAGGTTCTACATGTGGTGGTGAACATGGTTGTGGATATGGCTCTGGATGTGGTGGAGGTATATGGTGCGGTGGTGGTGGCGGTGGTACATAATGCGGATGATGCGGTGGTGGATAATCATGTTGACCACAACTGAAATAATGGTTTTTAATTAAGCGATAAATTATTTAATCTTTAACAGAGGTTTAAGGTTGCGATATTTCCTAAATGTGGAGGTTGATTTCGTAAGTTTTCAAGGTATTCGTAAATTATGTTGTAAGAATGAACATAAAATCATTTCATAATAACTAATCTACATTTCATATTTTGATTAAAAACTGTAAAATTATAATTCGATTAATAAGAAAATTATTTTTAATGAATTCTTAATATTTTTTCTTAACTTTCACATAATATGGCAGCTATATGTTGGATTATTAATACAAAAAGTCTGAAATAAATTTGCAATTTTTTTTTAAATTGATTCGTTCTTAATTACATAAATTTAAAAATAATTTACTTAACCTGTACGGCCTGGGGCCATCACAATATAGAACCGTAACTTCGATATTTTTGCATTATTTTTATAATTTATAATGTTCTAATATTTTAAAACAAATTAAATTAGGTTAAATTTATTTTATATCAAATTTGTTTTAGATAATAAGTTTTAAATCAAATCAAATTGTTTTTTTTTTCTTTTTCCCACCTTTATAAAACAATCGACTTATTAGTTCGCCAGTTCATGTAAAGCCATAATCTAATAAATTACTTAACCTTGAACAAAATTTGCACCACTATATGTACGTAAAACACAAGAATACAGAAAAAATGATAAAAATATTACCTTGCTTGCACCAGCACAAGTGCTATGAAAGCCTGCAAACAGAAACCCATTGTGGTGGGTGATTCCAAACTGGATATTTATTTTGCTATTTAAAGTTTTTTAAAAACAATTAAAAACATATAATGTCATTTAGCACGAATTGTTATAACTTTGAACAATTTAAGTAAATAATATGCCCGATTAATATATACACAGTTAATTAATTCTAATAAATAATAGCTTAAAATGATAAGGATGTTTAAATTTTGTTCTTATATTTGGTTAGTACCTACAATAATAGTTATTTATGCAACAAGTGCAAAAAGTAAGTGTTTATTGCACGCGACGTGAAATTGTCCAACGAGGCTGTCAGGCCGAGTTTGACAACACGTCGAGTGCAATAAACACTTTTTGCACGAGTTGCATACAATATTTTTTCTACGTTCATGCAAAAACTAAAAAATGTTTTATAGAATTGCAATTGTATTATCCAAATCATAGTAGCCGTGATCGTGTACCTTCGTTTATTAACATTGCATGAGAGTTGCATACGTTATTGTTTCTACACCCGATAAATAATCAAGAACTATTAATATTATATTTATATTTGTATTGAACACAATAACAGTAATTACTAGTATTTCTATAAAAAATTCTACAAAATTGTAATTAATAGTAATACCTCGGGTATTGGTATTAGTATACGAGTAGATTTTTGGGAAACATATTTTGTACTGCATTTTTTCTCCGATATGTGTATGGAGGAGCCGATGGTAAATTTTCTATATCGCTGATATCAGACATTTTGATTTAGCTATCTCAAAAAATTTAATACGTACTGATTTTGACAACTAAAACAATTATATAGGAACCTAGGACAAACGTCAAATGCACAGCATGCTTGATTGAAAAATTATGGGTTTCTATTGATTCGTTATGAAAATTCTGTATCACAGATTAACCACAACAGATGCGAAACCTGGCAAAAGATCAAAGGATTTTAAAATGAGATTTCTATGACCTTGAACTTTACATGGGTAATGGCATAGGTGTTGCCAATTTTAATTATTCTCAGTGAGAATTTCTAAATATGATTTTCTTTTAAAAAATTCGTTTCAGATGCCAGGATTGGTTTAGGTAATTAATGGTATAATGTATAATAGCAGCACGAGTATGTGAACAAAGTTGTTGATATGGGTCTATTTTTTAAACATTTTAAAAGAAAAAGAATATGATTTGTAATAATATTTTCAAAATTTTATTATTGGTAATAGATTATAACAAGCAACGAAGTATAATGTTAATGTATTAAAAATTTGTTAAGCGGGCTTAGCCATCAAATCCAGTTAATAGACCCTCCATTTTCCCTTTAATGTGTTGAAATAAATTTATTGGCAATTAGTGGCCTATTAATGCGAAATTAACGAGAAATTGCAGGTATTTTACCATATTACTGACTGCTGAATAAAGGCCATGTGCCAGGTACAATGCATTCCAATATACCTAGAATATTGTAGACATTTTATTTAATTCAGCTATATAATAGAGATAAAAAATGTATATTCATAAAATATTCTAAATGTATAAGTAAAAAATTACAAAGAATTGTGAATACAATCCGAAACTGGCCTCATGTCCACTCGTTGAGTATACAGCAAATCAGCATCGATGTCTCCATCTATGAACGCGGGACGAAACCCTCCTGGACTGTTGGGGAGTTGTCTCCTGCAGTTAAAAGCCTTTTGACTTTTACCTCGCTCTTACCCTATCCAGTTAGTTACCCTTTATATAGCCAACTAACATAGTGCTAGGCCACTATCGAAAGGACAAAAGGCTTTCATTTTTAATCGTCGCATTCATTTCAATTACAACAAAAGGCCAGTAATATTCCGGCAATTCATTGATTGTTGGGATACAATATAATCCCATCACTAACAAGTATACCAATATAACTTTTGTAAATAATTGAGGTTTGAATACTTATTGCATACAGCCTATCAGCAGGAAAATACAATTCTATTTCCTGTAGCTACAAACCTAGTAAAACAAATATTAAACAACTACTTTGGTAGGTTGGTACTTCTGAACTTTAAAGTATAATTGGATAAAAATGCAAAACAGAACATTTATTAAGAATATTCATTAAATTTGGTTTTAGTTTTAGATTTATTAAATTCTTCATGAATTAATTAATGAAGAAGCACTTATTAGACATTACTTAAAATACATACCTTTCTATTTTTTTGGCTGATTTCTGAAATATCTGTTGCTAAATTTTATTATGTAAAATATTCGAAGACGAATAAATAACTTTAAAAAGTAGTCATAAGAAAAATGTTGGTTGTTTAAATCCTTGAACTGTATTAAACGAATTATACGAATTATTTCCAAGTATGGGACCAGGTAAGTAATTTTCTATTTTTCAAAAAATAAATATTCCAACTGATAAATGTACTGATAAAAACATTCGGTTAGTGTATCTAGACTTCCAAATAATGATTTGATATCATAAGCTTTGAAATGAATAAAAATATTGCTGCTACCTAGGAAGTTGCAGTAGAAAAGTGTTCATAAATGTACAGCTATGAATTCGAAGACATTTTATACGTGCTCTAGATACCACTACGACGTATATTCTTCGTTTCATTCATGAGTTATCTACAGAAGAAGACTATACACAATATTTTTATCCAAAAATGCATACAACGCAAAGCGTCACGACTGGTCCTGATTGTCCTGAATGTCACAGAAATGTCACCTCACTTACAGCATCCCAAGCAAGGTTGTCACATAAAAAATTTAAATTTCACGCGTTTTTTAAAAGTGTCATTGATTGTCATTAATAAATGTAAACTATAAACTTTTAAATGGTTTTGTATTATTTTATGTAACGTCTGTGGTAACTAAAAAATGTATGTACATTTTCATTTGACTTAAATGCTAATGTTACATTATATCAGAAAACCTAGGAGCATCGGCAACTTCGTATAATGAAACAACGTTTGCCTTCGAAACTGCGTGAGAGGAAACGAGTTGCTACGACGGACCTTTAATTTTGTCACCTTTCGCATATGGGTTATCTGTGCCATAATCTGTTCACCCTTATTTGCAATAATTTAACTAAATAGTTTTAAAACTAAAAATTTTAATGGAATATATATTATTTCTTAATTAATATCCATAAAGTTAAAAAAGTATGCAAGTCTTTAAAAATTTATTTACATAAATCACAATTTAATCAGTATACAACATGTTCCCCAAAATATTCGTGGTGATGTCGAGGAGGACATGGGTCATCTATGCAACCATAATTGCAGACATGTCGATAGTAATCAGCTGAAAGTCTGGCCGTTCTGGTTCTCGCGGGACAGTCGAATTCTACATCGTACAATCCAAACTTAATTCTGTAACAAAAATAATGTATTTAAACATTTGCTACATGGTATCTATTGATAAGAAATTGCTGTTAAGAGGAAAATCCCACTCACGCGACACGTCGCGCGCGACTGATCGCGAGGCATCGCGCGCGGCAATACTTTAGATGTTTTTAAATGACTCAAAGCCCATTAACGCGGTTCTGTCGCGTGGTCGCATGTATCTGAAATTTAAAAATGACAAGCCCGCGATTTTCCTGCCAGCGTTATCATGGATTCATATAGAGCATCACTCATACAAACGTCAAGTCGCGTGCGAAACGCCAGTTGAGAGTTGGAGTTTCCTGTTAACTTTTCGACAGTTCCAGTGAAAAAATGTCCGACAGTTGTATTGATATAGATGAATTTATATCCAATATTCAAGACAGACCTCAAATATCGAACAGGTAATTGAAATAAAATAGCGAAAAAAATATTTGTTCGGGAATCTGCGCTAGCAGTTCGTCAAATGACACTACTCTCATTCTGAAATATTTGAAGAACTTATCTTCGTGTTGATCTAAATCCTTATGTAATAAATTAAAAGCGTCTTTTACATAAGGGTCTATAAATAAGGGATGAACCCAGTACCCACGTCGTTTCAATTTTTTCCGCCGATGAACAGAATAAAACAACACCGTTACTACTTCTTCCACCTCTATTTTGATACTGAACGTCTGTGTCGCTGCTTGTCGTATGTTAAAAATCGCACCTAAAAAATCGCATGCGGCAGGTCGCACGCGACATGTCGCGTGAGTGGGCTTTCCCTCTAAAGTGCCTGTCTTCTTATGTAATAAGAACATATTTATATTGAATAATTTTAGCATTACTTACGTGTATCCAAAAGTTCGTATGAATCCATCAATATATGAATAGTGAGTGTAACCATAAATACGAACATCATCCTTTGTCATGGCATCGTAAATGTGTATTAATATATTCTAAAAAAATAAATTATTGAGTAGTTTTCGCAAAGACATAATATTAGTATAAATAGAATATGAAAAAGGGTCTATGGCAGTTCCCTGTGGTACTTCAAGTAACTAAGTCTAAATTAAAGTAGAACTTACTTTGATGTAATCAATACGGTCATAATCCTGTAATGTACGATCTCTTGAATCAAATCCATTGTTCACAATGAATATTGATGGGTTTAAATATTGTTTCTTTATCCATACTACTACCTTTCTTATTCCCCAAGTGTCATCCTAAAAATAATGTAATTACTTATATTAAATTATTAAATAATTTTTTAAAAATGTGTGACTTATTTTTTTTGTTCCTACTATAAAAGACATATCAGAGTAAGTAGATTTTTTTTTATGTATTTTATGGGGATTCTAATAGACCGTCAGATAGTGACCAATTCAGGTGCCATATTTTTGCATACAAGCCTCGAAGAGTGGCTCTTGGGGATAACACATGGAAAATTCGAATTTTTTTATCAGAAAAACTTTACGACCCCAAAATGCACTTATAAATTCGGGTCATTCAAGAAAATATGTTTTTCGGACTAGTGACGACGTACGTTTTCATATATTCGATGTGCTTGTGCGAAAAAATCAGGGAAAATTCGATTTTTTCTTAGAATATTACGCCCTTATTTTAATCCTTTAGTCACTTGCAACATTAAAGCCTTTGGTTTTCCGAAGCCTAGT